TGACTGACAAAGACTTAACTCGTGTCTGTGAATAAGATTGAAATATAGCCGGGGGCCTAGAGAAGCAGGAAACAGCAGCTCTACCTCCATTAAAAAGTTTACATTTAATATCACATCTGAAAAACAGATGATGCGGTCTACAAAAGGACAACGAGGAGTCGACACAGGGTCAGATATGGGAGATTTAACTTAACAAAAGTCAAAAAGACAAACATCACCTCTGGGTGGTAGGGGTGATACTGTAGGTGTCTTACCTCATAGGATTCTTTGACAATCTAATGGAGGGTGGTGAGGATGCAGAAAGCACGACGATGGTGGTGGAGGTGGTGAAAGGAGAGTGGGAAAGGGGACAAGATGACAGACAGACAGACAGACAGACAGACAGACAGACAGACAGACAGACAGACAGACAGACAAACAGACAAGGAGTCAGTGCAGGTACAGGAATATGGGGTTCAGATACACACAGAGAGGCGGTGCTGTGTGGGAAATACACTGATTTTCCCACCTGATCTGTGGCCATATTATTCTACAGCGTGATTTTGATTGTGCAAATACCTCTGTAAATAAATCTGTAAGTCAAGGCCACACATGACGCTTCAATTTAGACTTTGTGTTTTGTCCTGAATGAAAATTAAGATTAAGAACAAAATAGGGGAAAACACATGAATACATTGGCAGTTTCCACGGGAGAAGAATACTTCAGTTAATCCTGTCTGTGTGTGTTACTCAAGAGGGTCATGCCAGGATACAGAGGTGACTAATGCCATGCACATGTACCTGTTGGTTGAAACTAACCCATAAACTGTTCTCAAGCAGGTAACCAACATTCAGATATCAACTCTCCACAAGAGACTTTGCTAATAGGCTCGGGTGATATCCAAAAATCTTGATACAGTCCAGCCCAAATATTGAGATACACAATATTATTGTATATTGTGAAATTATAATATAAATGTTTTTTTTTTTAAAGTATGTTTCAGTTGTTTTTTTTTTTAAATAATGCATTATTATATTCAGTCCAGTCCAAATATTTCGATATATAATATTAAATTATTGTATTTTATGTTTCAGGTATAAGTGATGCTGCTGCTAAACAACACTTCTAAGTTTTGTTTGTCACACTGTGAGGTGCAATGTTCAGTAAGCAAAGCAGTGAAATGAGGGTTGGACTCGGCAGCAGGGCAGAACTACAAAAAAAATAAATCAACCTAGAAATACGGCCTCGTGGTCGTCTGCCTCCACCACTCGGAGTTATGGTTAAAAAGTGTTTTGTGACGGTCACACTGACCTTGACCTTTGACCACCAAAATCGAATCAGTTCGTCCTGTGTCCCAGTGGCCTTTTGTGCCAAATGTGAAGGGATTCCCTTTTTAGAGTCCCTGAGATATTGCCGAAACTGTGTTTTGTGAGGTCACTGTGACCTTGACCTTTGACCACAAAAATATAATCTAATATAATTTGAAGAAATTTCCTCAAGGCGATACTGAGATGTATCGTTCAAGAGAATGGGACGGACGGACATACAGACGGACGGACAACCTGAACACACAGGCGCAGAGGGATTAAAAAAAAAAAAAAGGAAATCGCATGACAGGAAATATCGTGATATTCTATATTATTGAATATCGGCCGAAGCCTAATTGCTAACATCTTGTTTCACATTTATTACACGCAGAGATGGAAACTGCAGCCTGAAAGCTACAGTTTTTATTGATTTGTACAGATTTGTTCAAACCTGTTAAATCTGAACTTCTGTCTGTGTTTAGAATCTGGATTGAGAACCATTGTTAGTACCAAACACTCTTCATACTATATACACTGTTGTATAACATGTTGGAGGTGGAGGTTACACATCAACACTGGGCTAAATGATATTCCTGCAGAGCATGATGTTAATAGCGATATGGAGGAGCATTAAGGGGCTATGACAATGAGGTACTGTCTACTCAGTGGTCTTTTTGTCCTGATTAAACCTCAGTCAGCAAAACCTCGACAAGTCTCCCAACAGAGCAGCCATCTGTTATCTTTTCTCTGAACCGCCTCCTGGTTCTTTCTGTTCCCCTCCACAGACATGTTGCTGAACTCAAATACTTCATATCACTCGTCACGAACATTCCTCGTACCTCAAACTCCTTGAAGAAGGTGTTGGTGGTGTGGAGCTCCATGACGTGCTTCACAAACTGCTTCACTGTCAGCGGCTCGTGACCGTCTGCAACACAAGAGTGAACGTTCAGCTGCAGGCGTAACACCCCATTTCATATTGCAATGATGATTTAATAAACTGTGTGTGTGTGTGTGTGCGTGTGTGTGTGTGTGTGTGTGTTACCTGTGGCCAGCAGCAGGGGTGTAGATGGAGCAGATATGACTTTAGGTGATGCACTGTCATCTGGGTAGAAATTAGCCGCCTGGAAACAGTTTCTGTGCCAAAAAAAAAGAATCTAAATTAATTACAAAGGTAAAAGTGATGGAGAAAGATATTGGCCTTTGTTGTCTCTGTGTGTGTGTGTGTGTGTGTGTGTGTGTGTGTGTGTGTGTGTGTGTGTGT